GGTGGTCAGCCTGCTGGAGACCGTCTTCATCACCTACCTGCTGCACCTGGCCACCACCCAGCCCCCACCCATGCCTCGCTGGCTCCACTCTCTGCTCCTCTACTGTGCCCGCCCATTCAAGTGCTGCCCCACTGGGCCCCAGGAGGGAAACAACAGCCTGGGCCCCACTCCCACCCTGCCTGGTAAGGGAACTCAGCCCTGCCCACCCTCATCTCCCAACACCTCCACTTCTCAGCCCTGCCTCCATGCCTCTCCCCCTTGCTCCCCAAATGGGGGAGCTCCCAGCCCAACGCTCAGTCTCTATCTCGCTGTAGGGGTGAAGGAGCCTGTGGAGTTGGTGGGGAAGGTGCCAGGTCCCAGGGAGGCAGAGGTAAACGGGTGTCCCGGGTCAACATGGGCCCAGCAGGAAGCTGAGGCTCAGAAGCAGCACTTGGTCAGCCTGTGGGTGCAGTTCAGCCACGTGATGGACACCCTGCTCTTCCGCCTCTACCTGCTCTTCATGGCCATCTCCATCACCACGGTCATCGTCCTCTGGAACACCTAGGCATAGCATCTCTCTGCTCCTGTAGATCCCAGCCTGGACCGTTTGTGGCCTCCCAGAGCCAGCAACGCCTTTCCCCTTGTTGAGTCATGTCATGGTCCCAGTGATTTCCAGACTCCCTGCTTCCTTCCATCCTTCTCAATTTGACCCATTGACCAGGCAGACATCCATCACTGCCTCTTTCTGGAAACCACAGCTTGGAATTTCTCCTGGTTTCAAGACAGCAAGATCCAGCCCACTTTTCTAATCTTACCACTTACTCCCAGTGATTACCATGTTCCTTCTATATTCCCAAATCCCAACACAGCCCTACTGAGAAGATTCAGAACAGCCTTAGACAATTTCCAGATTTCTCATATGCCATAGTCTTCATTTCTCCATTTTTTTTTAAAGATTAATTTATTTATGCATACAGAACTGAGGTACAGGCCAGAGGCTCAGGGGCGGCAAGAGGCTTCACCAGAGACAGAGTGGGGAGCAGAACAGGCATATCGACGAAGTACACTGCTGAGGAGAGCAGCGGGCGGGTCAGGAGAGGTCTGCC